TAGTAATAAAAATGCAAGGCCCTAGTGCTTTGCAAGCTTCCAAATTTCGGGCAGCAGAGCGAGTTATATCATCGCCTTCCGCATGATCAACACTATCAGCAGGTGGTCAGCCATTAGACAATCTTCTCTCTCATTGTCAGTCCTTTCTATATCCTTATCGTCACCTCCAAAACATTATCGCGATAATTTAGTGAAGAAAGGGGGTGGATTGTGATCTAAAGAAAATCCTCTGCTAAATGGGCTAACTCAGCCTCCCAGTTGACGATGAGCTAGGAGGTAAGCGCGCATCTAATCAGCTCTCGTGAAAATCCATAATTCAAGAGAGTTTGAATGGAACCTCTCACAAATAGAATTTGGACTTTGACAATGTTCATAATCAACGATAAAAGGATAAAGGATTCTGCGTCTTCAGCACCCTCTGCGGGACATGCCTCCTTCTTCTTTTCGAGGAGGCTTATGAATGCATGCCAATTTTTATTACACATCGGCGACCAACCAGTTACCAAGTCAGTGCTTTCACTCTCCCAGATTACTACCGTACCAATTTTTATGTCCCCAGAGAAAAGAGAGGTTCTCAGGGTTAGGCGGCGCCCCGTACCACTACACTACTCGTCCCTTGAAACTCGTATTATCACTAAGAACAGAAACGAGAGATTTTCCATGTCATTAACCAGCTGGTTAGCAAGTTTCTGTTGTTACTACCACGACTGCGAATTCTAAATAGGAAAGTAAAAATAACAAGATAAAATGGGCAGGAACTTCATTTTGCACCACTTTGAAATCTGATTTTTGCGCAGAACCCCGGAGGGGGATGAATAAGCTCTATTTGCTATGACTTTTCTTCGAGTTCAAACTTAGACAGTTGCTAATCAAACTCCATTGTTGGGATATCTCAGAAAAAACAATGCCATTAATGCTCACTGTACCGTGAAATTCTATTTGAAATTGCAAAAATCGTAGTTTTCAACTTGTAATCACAACAGATGAAATTGTAGAATATATTGCGTGAAAAAGGCTTTCAAGGAGCTCATTAGCGATATTGGAGTTCATTTGAGGCTACAAAGTTTTCGAGACTTTTTTAGGACGTTAGCGCTTGGTTCTTGAAAGATTCTAATGGCATGTAATAAGAGCACATGTTGTATGAACAGAAAAGGGTAAACGTTTATGAAATAGAATCGGTTTCCTTTGTTTTGAACCGAAACTGTTTGAAGAGCAAATTTTAGTGCTAAGACAACATATAAAAGCTGAGAAGAGTGGCTGACACATCATAACTCTCACTTCACAAATCGCCATATCAACACTTGGCATCTAATACCCTCTCCCTGATAGAAGTTTGATTTCTAATACCTTAGGGAAATCGATGAGTAGTACTCCTAATCGCTCTTAAGAAACAGCTTTTAGGGGAAACATGCACAAGAAGTGAGTTATAAATACATTTCCGCTGAGTTGCGGCTTTGTCAAACAACTATAAAGAGATAATCAAGAAGATTAGGGTGGAATGACCGTTTTTTTGTATGAATAATTTGTAAGTGCACTTTTATGAAAAAGATTATTTGTTGAAAACATCTCAAGGTTCTCTGTCTTCAGTTTATCTCGAAATAGCCATAATAAATGCGAAAAACTTCTTACCACTTCAAACAAAATTTCTGAAGTTTTTCTAAAAACGAGAAACGTAACCCGAACATTTTCACGAAATAAAAAAAACCCGCTATCAAAAAGATAATCTCCGCGAAGCGTAGTTCTAACTTGAAATTATCATGAAGTTGTCGGAATTCATCTTGCATAAACTTGCTTTCAAAGAATTTTATTTGAAAAAATGTGAGATTAGGCAACCGTCTAACAATAAGATTGTACAAGAAAAGACTACCTTTTATACGCTGTCTAGGAGAAAACAAAGCTTTTTATGCATTTTCATTCGATCTTATACTAAAAAGCATGTTTGATTCTAAATTTTAGACAAAAATTAGAAAAGAATTTGAAGTCTGACAACGCTTCGAGAAAATACGAGAATTTAGAAAGACTTTCTTATCATTTGGTTGAGAATGATGTCTACAAAGTCAGAAGTAGCAACAGAGAACTTCAATAAGTTGCATTTTTCTCGAAATTACTTGCTTTAATGATATGGTTTTTTCCAAAATTTTCGGACGAGTTTTATGATATGTGGCAACTAGGATAACAATTAACAATGAAAATCTGTTTTATTCATTTTTTATTTTTTCAGAATCGCAGTTTTGGTAATCAAAGCCGTTTAAAAATTTCATAAAATAATTGCCTCGTCTCTTACTTTTGATGCGTGCATAATCTAAACTTTTTGCACCAGATTTTTTGGAATACAGGTGCAAATTTTGATTTTAATCAAAATTGTTCCATTTTCGTGATTAAATGGTTAAATATGACATTGCTGAGAAGGATTCTCTCCCATACACCACGGATATTGGAGATGTGGCTGTGCGATCATAATTAGTGTTGAGATGTGGTGTAAGGGAATTTCTGACAGGAGTCGATGATGAGATGAGAAATTGCCGGGACGAGTGGCGCGTGCCCAGCGATGTGCAATGTGTGCCCACAGGTCAAAACAATATGTTCAACGGCTCGCATGATGAATGACGCCTGGCTGTGGGCCGAACAACAGTTGCCGATGAATCACACAAATTCCCACACTACTATGGTAGCTCCACCCGACTGGCTCGTCGGCATTTTGAGGGGTGAAAAAAATGAGGAGAGAAGAAACGGGAGCAGCCACTGTGGGTCTGAAAGTCGACGAGCGATGCGTTTATAGCCGTCTATGAATATTTCATAGGTGCTTTTCCTAAAGCAGCACATTACGTTGTACGTCGCCCTATCTTAGCAGGAAAAATTTCACTCCCTAACTTTCCGAATTACGAAGTCAGCGACCGAACGAATCTCGTACTCAATGCTGGAACTTATGATGCATGTTTCTGAACAGTTATCGAACTCTTTACTAGATGCTCGAGTTCTGGATCAAATTTTTCCCATAAAGCAGAAGTTGTTGCCATCTTTCGAAGAAAATGCTATTTGATTAAGCTTTGATATTCTTACTTACATTATTATTATTCTTGTGATTGAAATGATCAACTGTTCCTCATATGATCTGCTATGACATAGTCGATGCAACCTTAGTATGCGCGGATAATGAGCTTTATAGAAGGCGCCCTCTCTTAGCTTCGTCAGCTTCATTTACCTCATTTTTTATTGTCAACACTCTCTTTTCAGACAATTCACGGGAACTTCCCGAAGGCTTTAGGGAAACCTCCGAAGGATCATCTGCGGAATTACCGCTATGGTCTTTGGGAAGTTCCCTATATGAGACTTTCGGGAAGTTCTCTAATGCTGGGAGCTTCCGCAAGATTTATTTACTGACTTGATAATCGTAAGGGTATTTTCTGCTCTTTCCTTTGGATGCTACCTCATCAACGTGGTTACACTCACTGGTTACATCTCTGGGGAAGTTCCCGCATATTTAAGGCCACGGGAAGCACTGCATTTGAGGGAAGTCCCCTAGGATTTCCTCGGGAAGTTCTTAACTTTATTGCTGTTGATGCCATTTTTTTTCGGGAGGTTCCCATTTTCCGTCTTCTTTCAACTCAGTACTAGTTCAAGCTCTCGGGAAGTTTTGCAAATTAGATTAGCTTGACCTTGGGAATTTCCCGTGATCTGTCTGAGTTATTCTTCTCATTTATCCTGCTTCTCGAGTGCTTGCAAAGGACAAAGCCTTCAAATCTATCAAAAAGTAGAGGCGGTACAAAAAAATTGATTTTATCAAGATCTAAGCTCAATGTACGAACAAGTTTCTTTATATGTAGAGTTTTGCCTGATGACATACTTAAACGTAAACGAGTGTTTGTTCCTAAGCTGGCTTCGTTCAAAAGATTTTAAGGACCTATATGCAAAAAAAATGAATTTCGTTTACTTTGTTATGACGTTGTGTTGGTGCTTTTGTAGTTAGTTTTGTTGATCTTTTTCGCAGGGTCTTCCTACGTAATAAAATAAATAAGACAGGTGTCCTTGAAAGGAGTAAAGTACACAGCAATTATTATTGTTGTTATTATATCAATATTGTTATTACAATTGTATTACTACCATTATTATTATTTTATATTATTAGGCTATTTAAGTTGATATTCATCCTTCACCTAATTTACTATCACGGAGCGTTGCGATCCACTCACAAGATAAGAAATGCTGTACATCGCATAATCCACTTAATACTTGTAATCTTCCGTCTGTCCACATTAAAGCTCCGATAACGGTAAGACTGCAAAGATTAATGCGACTGTGTTTGGCGATCACTCGCATTGTCTCAATTAGATAACTTTGCAGTAAAAAGGGATTGGACAGCTTCAGAAATTTGAACATCTTTGTAAATGTTTTGAGTGTTCTATAGTTATGGTTTTCCTTCACGAGCTGCTCCTTGGTGTTAATTTTGATTTTCCCATTTTATTCATCTGCAAATGAGTGATAAGACTTTTGAATTTCAGATCGGTAAAAACTCAAGCGCATCTATCATTATGGGATACTCCATACCACGATTATAATTCGAATGATTGTTGATTTTGGTTGCGTTCCATCCCCTCTAGTTTGAGCTGTATAAAATGTCGAACAAGATGTCAGTACAGCTACTTAACAGGAAGGTCAGCATCACTTCTGGCATGGTAACAGAATTGAGAGGATTTTGAAAGAATATTAAGTCACTAGTAAATTGTTTTCTTTTTGCTGAACTATTCTCCAAAATGATAGATAGCAATCTGCGGCGAACAAACTTTCTGCAGTAATTTTTACATTTACCCCTACCAAATTGTGGGCAATTTTCATATTCTCTAGGAAAAAATAGTCCCCGATTATCACACGATGCACAGCGCTTTGACAATAAGAGAAAGTAAACTCAACAAAAATTTATTTGAGTAACGAAAAGACATGTTTCATAACGTTGCACAACAATTTTTGAAAGACAAGTTTATATCGTCAAAGCTTCTTCTCTATTAGTCTAGATATTTAGCCATAGGAATGGCCTTATATCTGTCAAATGCAGATTCGTGAATGAATGAATATTCGCACAGCTTATGATATCCTCCGTTAATTTCATGAGAGAATAACCAGTAACCATGCAGCGAAATCTTCTGTAAGAGTATTGCCACCTGTGATGTATTGCGGCCATGAATCTCCACCATGATCTGAAGAATTCTGAATTGCACTTTAAGGTCAAGCAATATTTTTTAAAGTTTGCAGCAGAGGTGGTAGATGTTTACTTCACTGTTTTTCTTAGTCGTTCTTTTCTTTGTCTATCCGTCATGACTACTTTCCCCTTTTTAGGGGAACATGATAGCCATCACTTGTTAGAGCCCTTTTAACACATTGACGACAATACGACCCAGCGGTGGGTCGTACGTGTACTGCCATTTCGGACAATACGACCCACCGGTGGGTCGTAAGTTTTCGAAAGCTCTAACTTTGCCAGCATGCGATGGAATTCTACGGTATTCTGGCACATGATTGGGGACACCTTGGCGAAGCTCTAGCCGGAGTGGTCCGGGTCCAGGATACTGTAATGTAATGTTACGGTAGGTATACCGTAGATAGAGGTAAGGCACAGATTTTAGCTCGAAATTCTCGCAGAGTGGTGCTGTTTTTGACAATTCAAGTTTACATGCACAAGAAATACAGGGGGAGCATGAGACTGATGTCAGCCCATCTAAAATTACGATTTTATTGATTTTATTGATTTTTCGCATTGTTCATCCCAGGAAGCTCAAATCTTGCATATATAGGTTTTTTAGCATGCTGATTATGAAAATGATAGTCTCAAGTTCAAATACCGCCTTCTTACATCAGTTTCTTGATTCTTAAAAAAATTCTACCGTACTGCTACCGTAGTCCCAGTGTGGGAAAGTAGTGAATGAAGTGGACACTATAATCGTGATCAGCATGTAAAATTATCCCAAAACACAATTTTTCACAAAAATCCGTGATGTTGAGTTCAGTACAGAGTGACTACCGTAATCTTACCGTATACTGCCAAAAACTGAAACAAATCATATTTTGATAATCTGCGCCTTCGATAACCCTTGTGTGGATATTCTCAGAGACATGTTTTGAATTTCTTACAAAAAGACTAACATTTCGGACAATACGACCCACGGGTGGGTCGTAAGTTTGGCAGAGCAAAAAAGGCTCCTTTCCGAAATGGCAGTAATCGAAAAATCGGCCTTGTCGTCAATGTGTTAAAATTGTGCACCCCAAAACTCCTCGTCATTGCTGGTTCAATTTCGTCGAGCTCAACAATAAAGCAAACTGACCTGTCGTGGACGATAGCTGTCGAGAAACTGTGGAAGCACTTTGTGTTCGGTGTCTAAAATGTCTTGACAAAGAAAAGAAGCAAAACCAAGTGCCTTTACTTTCAAGATCTATTTTCAAAATTTCCACTGCTGTAACGTTATCTATCTTCATGAGCGTTTTCATTGTATAGGTATCGTTTGCTTCGTAATCGAAATTAGCAATGCGTGCTTTTCTTAAATGCGTGTTTGGTATACGCGAATAAAGATATTTCGTTTTCGAATTCTGTTCCTGAAATAACAAAGGGGTTGAGTCATTTCACAGTTACCTTGTACACGCTATCCACTCACTGAATCATAGCCGAAAATGGTGCAGCAACTCATGGTTATTCTTTGGAGTTCTTCTTCAAATGTAACATCTGTGTTAATCCCATACGATAACACAATACTGCCATAGGGAATTCTGAAAAGATGAGGATCTGGTTAATTTACTACAACAAAAATTTCGAAGCTCATTGTGCTAATCTCACCAGCAATCGTAAGCGAACCCAAACCAATACTGCTTAATCCAGCTAATCAAGGTTCTACATTAATTCTAGTATTTATCAAGTGGTAGAGTTCATCTTTGCCTTCTGCGAATGTTAAGTCGTTTTGATTTCACACCTCTTAGGGAATTCGTGTCCGTCCAAAAAGTCCTTGTCAGCAGGGGCGCCAAATATGTTCCAAAGCGACGCCGATTGATGAGGATATATGGACAAATATGGAAGCAGAAGTAAAGGCTGATGCATGACGAAGGCGCAGAAGCAGCATACTTGAGCTGTCGCAAACGTTGCGCGCGCATATCTTCACCATTGTAAATCCTGCGCCTCATGCGCTCTGCGGCTAATGAAACGCGCACGCGCCCAAAATATTGCGCCTTCGTCATGCAGCAGCCTATGAGTTGGTAGGCAGGACAGAAAGTGACACAAATACTTCGTCAAAGAAAACGAACAACGTGACTGGATGCCGAACGTTTATTGAGAAATGAACAGCAATTCAGCAGCTTTGGTGAACATCTTCCTTGAGCTCTGTTTTTTTGCGTCTCCGTTTCGCGACTATCTTTCTCTATCAGAGTAATATCACCGAAGCAGAGACGATGTTGTAAAATATGATTGAAGTGTAGGAAAAAATTGGACTTCAGTGACTTAGATTGAGGTAAGGTCTATGAAAGAGGTTTTTTGAAGAAATGAATATGAATTAGAAGTCATATCTAGCACAGAGACGTTTCCGTGTATTCAAAGCGTTCACTCGCATTGAGCAAATTGTAAGGGCCGACAACAACTAAAGAAAAAGGTCGTGGGGCACCTCCAAATTCTTCAAAGAAGCCACCACGCTGGAGGATTAAGAGCTTTACCTTCGGGTTTTCTGCTCAACTTTTCCTTTGCGTTTTACGCAGCGAGAAAACTTGGGTTGTTACTGCAGCCATGTCGAAAGCTTTTGGGTCAATCCATACCCGCAGGACCCCGCAGGACGTAGCAGCCTGCCGCAGCCTGCGGCGTGCGCTGCTGTAGTAGCAGTGAAAATACGCTCAGGCAGCACAGCGGGATTTTGCGCAAATGCAGCGAAAGCCCAATCGCAGAATTATATACTAGGTCTCTGTATGCATGTAGAACCTGATGAAGCAAATGCAGAAAGCTAGCACTTCATGAGTAGAAATGAAAGTAGCGTATTGATGTCATTGATGAGAACACGAAATAGGTCTAGTAGAAAAGGGAGCACAAATTCAAGTCGAATGAAGAATCATTCGGTAAACTTCGATCGACGATGAGACAAGGTAAAAGAGAGAAGGGATTGCACGTTGTGAAGGAAAACTCTCGGAAAACACGAACGTGCAACACATATTGACACATCGATTAACAGCAAAGCTGTGCTGCCGTGTGCGTATTTTCACTTCGACTGCAGCGGCGCATGCCGCAGGCTGCGGCAGGCTGCTGCGTCCTGCGGTGTAGTATGAATGAACCCAATGGCCATCCGCAGATATACGCATCACATCGACATGAATGGACTAAAGGTTATTGTCGCTGATTTGGTTATATAAGTTTAAACTGCTTATGCTCAAAAGTGCGTCCTCTACAATAGACATTGCGTGCAGCTGCTCTACTACTATGTAACTTTGAAATTTGTTGTAGGCGCAGCAGTTGTGCTTAAATTCGATTGAAAAAAGCCAGCGTTTTTCCAGTATCAGCAAATAAACCGTAGAAATCAGTATTTGCTTGTTTTGCTGCTCGCTTATATACGAATTGCATGTTTCTGAAATTTTGCAGGTATGAGGCAATATTTCCACACAACCGACAACTCCCAAAAACCAACTTGTATCTACACCACTCATCTTTACAATCGTAGTTATGGAATTTGGTTGCTAATGAAGAGCGAAGTTTAACGAGTTTGAAATGCGCACCTGAAAGGATTGCAAATCCTCTTCCCACCATCGCTAGTCGTTCCGACACGAACCAGCATAGGACAATATGCCTACAACGCCAACTGTTAGGAAAAATTATTTTTGATTGCGCAACTACAACGGCATGATCTACCCAAGTCATGGTAAGCACAATTAAAGCAAACTTTCTGTACTCAACCTTCACACTAAGCGTAGGTTGCGCATAATCTTTGGTTTTCTTTCATTGCCAGCTTATGCCACCAGAGCGAAGGGCATCTTGTAAGCTCAAAAAACTAAGTACTATTCACAAAAAGGATAAATATTTATAGTGCATAATGCTGACAAGCGCGAGTGGGGGGAAAGACCTATGCAAATCCTGCACTATCCCAAAGTTACTTAAAGCAAGCGCTTTGAAATTGAGGATTCCAATCGAAAGGAATTTGCTACCGCAGCATTGAAGAGCACTACTGTAAACTTCAAGAGCTTACTTGAAAAAGTAAAACTTACTTCTGGAGCTAGGTTGTTGTAGAGAGCCATATAATTTAAAGAAGAAGTCTGCTCCCGAACCATTTGTAAATACTTTCGACGACTAGTGGCCTAAATCTGCAGCATTTGTAAACTCTCCGCCTCTACGATGTAGGTTTGGAAAAGCAAAAAATATGATTAAAAACATGCATGACAAGGTCCCATAATGAACACATTATTTCGCACACAACCCTTTGGAAAATACTCTTTGAGCTTTCTGAATGCCAGCAAAATTTTTTAAAGCTGCTTGCTTCCACAAATAATAGGTTTCAAAGTGAACGCTTCTAAAAATATCTTTTTCAAAGGAGTGGCTCGGCAGAATGAGACCCATGACAAAACAATGTCACAGAGTAGGAGCCCCCATAGTGGAACTATGGGTCAAGGTTCATGTTTCTCTGCCACCTCTAACCCACGAAAATTCAACGCGAAAGCAGTGCTTCCATTTCGCCTCATCTCGAATCCATCGGAGAGGAGGGGAGATGAGCGCTGCTTTTGCGTTGAAATTTCGGGGGTATAACAAAGAAAGATCGAACTTTGGCCCATAGATTCCATTATGGGGCTCCTACCCTGTGACCTTGTTTCGCCACGGGTCTCATTCTGCCGAGTCACTGACTTCAAAGGTTTGGAATGAAACTCCGCCGTCATCCATGATGCTTGCATGTCAAGGTTCTTATGATTATATTGAGTTGATTTTGTCTCAAATACTGAGGAAATGCTTATCTTGAAGAAGTCATGAGAGTAAGGAATTTTGAAACGGCCGTTATCTTGGACTCAAACCATTACATTTTCGTATAATGCAATTCAACCCCTGCTCGAGAGCTCAGCAAATCTATTTGACACCTTGACGACAACGCGCATTTCTAGTTGTCCGCTCTCCGTTGGACCTTTTGCAGAAGAAAAGCTTGTACATTGAAAAAACACAAACCAAAAGCACCCTTTACACAACCTTACTCGAGAAATATAACAAAAATTCAGCCTTTTCTGAACATGCAATTAACTGAGTGAACAATGAGTGGTGCTACAATCTCCTGCAGCCAGTCACTATTTTTGGCGGAAATCTCCGCTTCAGCCTACTCAGCAATCTCCAAGGCCGGAGAACGCCATAAGAAGCACTTTTCTAATTTCTAAGGGGAGCTCTGGTATAAATGCATCCAGAAGGCCAAGGAGGAACAGAAAGCGCTGTCGCAATTTCTTCGAACCACTGTCTTTAAAGCACAAAGAGAGTAGTAATTAAATATGCTTATAACTGTCAGAAGTGTCTTATCTGATATAGAAAAACGCTAGATAGGATTTCGCCAAACTTATTGTACAGTCAGATGGTCGCTATACGGCCCATCTGATTGGAACATACCTGAAGGGAGCGCATACGGCACACAAATGAAAGTTAAATTAACAATAAGATACCCGGTCCTTACATGTGTGAAAGTTATGTGAAGAATTTAGCAAGCATTGAAGATCGTACAACATTAAAGACCGGAAATTCTATCACATTGTAGGTATCCCGCTTAGTCATAAGAAACAACTCATTCGCATCGCTGTCAAGACCGAAAATGCACTACAGTTTGCATTGGTTGCTCAATCAGGTGATTGTATGGATACACAAATGGTTTATTAATTACTCGCAATTCTCGTGGGTAACACAATACATAGAGAAAACTGGTAGATCATTATGTGTGAGAATCAAAGAGCACTTATAGGGTAATCTAAATATTTACGCCATTGGGTACGGATCGCTTGCAAATTCAGTCAGACCAATGCTTTGGCATAGCTGTCACGGTCGGGTAGGGGACGATGTCTCCATAAGTCGGGTTCCACACGGACATCTGGGACGGTATTTATCAATCTCCACACGCTGCTCGGGAACTTTCCATCGTTATACACTGTCCGAACAGGCGAAAGCGTTCAAACCGTAATTTCTGTGAGGCTATTTAGCTTGGCCTGAACGGACAGCAGAGCTCGATCTGTCGAGACCCGACCTGCTGTGCCCGACATGGCCAAACTTGCCAGAAAGGACTCTTGAACAAACGCAGTGTCTAAGATGAGATCCAGATGGTATGATTGTGATGAGAATTTCTGATTATTAATGTAGTTCATTCTAGCCTTCCATTTCATAGCATTCGATATGTACTGTTCCCATTTAGCCAAAGATAAGACTCTCTGATACATTTCTGCATTTCTAACTTATCCCACTTTTATGACTTGTCCTTTAATACAAACTATTCAACGAATTATTGAAAATTAGAACGAACTCGCCGTTTCAGCACTTTAAAATGAGGCTAATTTTTCTTACTTTACAGATATTGACGTGATCATCAAATGTGCACATAGGCAAAAACTATGCTCGATGACCAAAAGTAAAAAAACAATGAAAGATTTTCATGTCTTCACCTTTTGCAAAGTTGACGCTAGCAAACGTTCTTGATATGCGCTATACTTTGGACCGAATCGAACAAATATTCGAATATTCGAATAAAGTATTCGAATAGATTTCATTCGAAATTCGATTATTCAAAAATTTAAAAATTTCGAGTATATTTGATATTCGCTTATTCGAAATTTGTCAATTTCGAATCATTCGATTATTCGGTTATTCGAAAACTTTGATTTTCGAAAATATCGAACATTCAAATATTTATTTCCAAAAGTTATTCGATTATTCGACAATTTAGTGTAATCGAATAAGTACATGACAGCGTCACCATCTTGACTGCTGTATCAGCAAACATCGTTTGTTGTCCAAGTTGCCCACTGCATGGAGTCCTTCATTGTGCCAATTCGATCAAAATTTGTTTGGATATTCGACATCGATGCAAAATATTCTTTGTTCAAATTTTTTTTATCAAATATATTCGACTATTCGGATTTTTTACATTTCGAATATATTCGATATTCGATTATTCGACGATTTTCTTTCGAAAATATTCGATATTCGGGTATTCGACATTTTTTGTTTTTGAAAATAATCAAAATTCGATTATTCAATATTTTTGATTTTCGAATATATTCGGTCATTCGTTTATAAAAAATTCTCGAATATTCCAAAGTATAATATGCGCCCGCTCGCGCTGCTGGCATGCTGCTCTCCACAGTTGGTTTTTGAACAGGCATGAGAGGATGTGCGGGAGATTGATAATTACCGCCCCGGGATAGACCATGCAGCTTCGCAGATTAGAGACATTGCACATTTACACAGCTGTCCGCGTGGAGTGGAGCCTAACGACAACATATAGCCCTTCCCGGCATAATCTTGGCAAATCATTTTAGGCTTTAGGTCTCTTAAACAACAGCAAGGAGGAGAGCGTTGACTTGAATAATGGTTTGATCTTGTATCAGCCTCTTAGAGGATTTGATCTACATTAGATTTACCATGCAAAGGCACGCTCAGTGATCAGAATTATCCTAGCAGTGAAGACGAGTGCTTGGTGGTGGCTCAGTTTTACTAACACTACCGAGGTTGGCTGACGATTTGCCTCCCGTTGCTCCCTAAAGGCGGATATGACCTTTCGCTCGGACAAGGCATGCGAGAGGGCGATTCACCAATAAATTTAGAGCTTCCAGGCTCCAAAGAAGGTGACGGCCCTACAAATTAACGACTAATAAAGAGTTTTAGAAAGTAGTTTCGGCCTTGAAGATAAGCACAATTTTCAAAGCTATGCTAACACTCATTAACAATAGAGCTAGGAGTTGATCTATTCGATATTGGTCAAAAATAAAAGTTAAAATCTAGTTAAGACATATGAACCAAGTTGAGCACTGTTGTAATGCGTCGAATGGTCTTTGTCACAGAAAAGTTTTAGCTTTGAACGTAACTTGCTCACAATTGCAGCAATGTCTCTCTGTCAAGCACAACAAACCTGCTCCTCGTACAACTTCAGCATTTCTGCAAAATATGGATCCAAAGTTATATTTTCATACGTGTAGCTGTTTGACGCTTTATTGCTACCTGCAATGCACAAAAACTTCTGAGAATCTATTTCTCAATTTTTCCTTTTTCTGAATTCTGTATTCTAAGCTTAAAGATATCTGCCAACGGCAAACATGTCCCATTTATTGTGAATTGTTCAGTGTTTATTTCGAAAATAGTTTGCGAACAGTATAATGGGAGATAAAAGAATGAGCATCTTCAGTATGTTCCCCTGTGGGCATGCAATGCGCAGAACATATTTAAAACTATAGAAAAGGCTCCAAAAGCGTGAACTCAGCGACCTGCGGTTAGACCGTTCCCAAGTGCTTCAACCTCCCTGTTTTGATACTGACACACAGCCCCCAAAAAGGTAGAGCGTAGTCAACTCTACCTTGTTTGCTTGGGTTAGATTTAGGTTAGAATGAATTAGTTACATAGTTTATGCTTTTCTAGCAGTCTAGTTTTTTTTCTTGAGTGCATAAGAACATAGAGCGTCGTTGCGAGGCATACGGCACAATATCTCAGGTTGCCGGCCTCATTTGTTGATTTGTTTGATTCTGATCTGATCTTTGTTTTTGCTCATCCTTCGCAGCCTTCAGCCGGGTCAGTGGAACCTGCGGACCTGTCTGCCCGTTACTAGAGTGCTTCTTAAGTTGAGAGGGTCGTGATTAATCTCATTTGTCGCAGCTTCTCTCTTGACTTACCATTCCCTCCCCCCTTTCCTCACCTATTTTCCTTTCGAACCATTCGCTTACAGTACGCATCATGCGTTATTCTGCCAACATCTATCATGCCCAGAGCATTGAGCCAAACCGCAGCCCAGTAAAATGGCGAAACAAGTCGAAGTTACCGTAAAACCTTAGAGTTGAGTTACAGCTGCTTGTCTGCTTAAGCATGATATAACTCCATAACATAAAAATAACAATCGTTGCAATAGTTGGCACCATGAACCGCAACATTTGCTCACATCGGTCAATCTAAAAATATATAGATAGAGCTGCCAAATTTCGAGTGTAAAAAAGAACTCCTGCAACTTTCCAAACATGAGTTCGGGGGCGCTATGTATCAATCTCTCAAACCGACAAGAAAACGCATCCAATTTTATTTGGACTTCCGGGAAGAGACTCAAATAAGGTTGGAACGCTGACCCCAGGTTTGCTGTTTTTAGCTGCATCTTACTTTTAAGCGAGGTATGCCTTCTGGACCCTCACTCCAGAAGGGAACACTTCACTGGAGGAACCGGGCTCTGAGTCTCTTACAAATGTCAAAATCAAACTATATCAGGTCTCAGATCAGAAGAATCTCTTAACGAAAAATTTGCGCTAATTCGCATAATTCGATCGTAAAAAGCAGTGTCCGGGCAAAAGTCAATTTTGAGGTTTTCTGCTTACTATTCCATACTGGCAAGTGCAGAAACTGGAAAAGGGCTCTAACGCAGGAGGGAAATTGGCAGGTGGGCGAAACCCTCCACCAGTGAAGTCAATCTTTCAGCTTCAGGAGTGACTTTCGGCTTTCAATGAGCCAACAGCCACTGGCCAAGTGCGAACGCGTCAACTACGCTTCAGATCCCTTCCACAAAGTCTGAAAAAGTCAAGTAACATTGGCAATTTATCATAGGAAATCGATAAGGTGTTTGACTGGTTTCATTTTTTCAAATAATACTGTCTCTACTGTTAGGCTTGAACATGGACATTGAAGTAAGTTGGCTTTAGGAGATAAGTCAACCTTGTGAGCATGATCATATGTCTGAACGAAATTTTCAATAGAAAGTGAAAGCCTTTGCTTTAGGAATTTGTGTGATCGCAACGCATCAGTTTGTTGGCTATCACACAAATCATTTACCTTCATTCACGCTCTCGAGTTTAGATATTTTCAAAACAAAATATGTAGAAGTTTAGTGCCAGACATGGTTTGTAGGATAGAAACGAAGGGACTAATCGATTTCAACAAAACGAGTTGTGTGCAAAATCTCAAAGAAATGACGAGAGTTCAAAACGAGAACAGCAAAAGTTTCGCGTGATTGCTATCTCCCCGTCTCTCTGCGTGTAACACCTATAGAAATTTCGTTTAAGAATCTCGTCTAAAGATTAGAACAGTTTATTGTGTGGCTGTTTTTAACTGTGTTAGTGATTGGAGGTAAATGAACCATATGCTCTGATTTAACAGCTACAAGACGCACCCGTTTCTTCTAAAGTTGATCAGCCTGAGCACACCAAACTCTGCATGTTGCTCCTTAATTCAAAAGTTTTGTAAGAAAGTGTTACTGTTACGCAAGGCACATTGGTGCGGGAACTGCTCAGACAGTCGAAGGGATACCTCCGGAGGGTCCCGGGCTCTGCCCAGCGGGGATCTGCCGCTCGTGCTCCGGAGCCCTCCCATTTCACGCGTTTTGGTGCTCCGGGCTCCTCCAAATCTGGCGCATTTGTACGCCCCCGCGCCATTTGTTCTCCGGAGGTATCCCTTCGATTGTCTGAGTACCTGCAAAAAAGGGTGCGCTTTGTACTCGTGAAATTAACGTAACATTTAGCAAAAATGATGCTGATGCTAATTTAACACGCGGAAAATTCAAGTTACATCTTACGTCATACCGTAGGACATAGCCTCATCGCATGCCGCCAACTATCGGCATAAAGTAAGTTCGCATCATAACCTTTAGTTCCTTTTTCAACATACTTTTAACATCTTTGAATAACATTCGACTTCTAACAATGCAACACAAGCGTGAGTGTTTTATTCAACTAAACGTGAAACTTTCTAGTGTGATAATGTGATATATCAGAAAACGAAATAGTATTCTAAAAATCTGACAATAGCATTGCGCAGGTGTTTCCTAGAAAACATTTGTTGACTGCTTGATGTTTCTTAGTAGAATTATTCTCTATCAAGCATTATGGCACATGATCAAACATTATGTATGATACTTTGTTTTGTTAATCATATTGAAATGCCCAAAAACCGCAAGCACCTCCGCTTTCTCCACACTATCTCCTTCGTTCTATCTCCTTTACTGAAATTTTCACAGAATTTTTGATACAAAGCTCCCGTGATATACCTCTATCTGCGCAACTCGACTTTGGCGGGCCTAAGTTGAAGATGCGAGCCTCAGTCCGACGTCAGTGAGCTATCAATCGGGATGCGCATCGCTATCACATGATAATCATGTGTATGTTTTAAGAAAGGGAATGCTTGAGCTGTGGCTCGATGGGGTAGGTGATTAAAGTTTGAGATTGGGCATAGTTCGATAGCGGCTAGTGGCACAACTTCTGTTGCATCGCGGGGCAGTTTTTGGCAGCGGCCATTATCGCAAAATCGATGATAACCGCTGTCAAGTATCAACTTAAGATTCTAACATCAAAATATGCACTCAACAGAGAATAAATGAAAAGAATTCTACTCTTACTTTAAGCGTCTACCATGATTTGAGAAGAGGATTCTGAAAAAGGGGAAAACCCCACTTTTTAATTTCTTAGGGTCGCACGCATCAACATCCCTGAAGGGGAGGGGATCGCAAAAGCAAAAGAAAGCTTCATATCCTAAAGCTCGGGACTTCTAGATCTCGCGTTGTCTACCTAAACCTAAGTAATTTACTATCCTTCATTATGAACATGTTGAACAGAAGCGAAAAGCTGTACAAGCTGCATTTTCCATCTTTTTGTATGTTCCTCTAATGATGCCCAGTGACCGACCGCCCCTAGTCTCTTGCATCTTGGCCAGACTTCACTCAAAAGCGCCCAAAAGCGCTCAAAGCGCCCGAATTTCTCTGCTGTCATTCACATTCTCGTGTGAGGAGAGATGAGAGAGAGTGAGGAGAGGTTAGAAAAATTTGGGCGTTGGGCGCTTTTGAGCTTTTTGAGCAAAGTCTGGCCAGGGCCTTGGCTGTTCATCTATCCTCTCCTCTTTGAGCCCAAGTATTGTGCACATTATTTTCATCATTTTAACTTACGACCTACCTCCAACCTACCAGCAGTACGCTGGGCGTGGCACTTGATCGGACGGTCTCCTGACTGTTCAACCTGCCATCTTAAAGTAAGGTAAGGTGGGCGGTCCAAGATTTTCACGATGTTCTTCAGAGAGGTCAGTTTAGATTAACTGAGCTGAGGGCCGACGTTTATTACGGGCCAATATCTTGCAATATGTTACGCGAGTATAACAGCCGAGATTGTCACACAAAATTCACTTCTGAGAAAATAACTTGGTTTACAAGACTATCAGAAGGGTAAAATACATTGAGTGAGCTGGAAAATAAACTGCTACATACGCCTTTAAGGGAATAATTGCTTGATTTCAATTCACTGCAGCAAAAACTAGTCTAGATACTTAGCCAAAGGGATGACGTGATATTTGTCAAATGCTGATTCGTGTATAAAAGAGTACTCGCACGAATCATGATACTCTCCATTAATTTCATAAGAGATCAACCAATAACCATGTAATGAAATCCTTTGGAGGAGCTCGGCTGTTTGCATGGAAATACCATGGATCTCCAGCATAATCTAAATAAGCTCTATTCTTGAATAAACAGTAACAGGAAATTCTGCAAACTCCGATTGAGAATTCTTTCTCTCGAGGGACCTTGCGTTAGTATAATTTTTTCATCTTCATTTGTCGATATATTAAATGCTAGCGGAAAGTCGTTTTCACACAATTCTGAATAAGTGCTTCATTTTGCCGAGTTTTATCACTACTTTCTTAATTGATAACTCGTGGTCGCTCAAAATATTATTCCAAATCTTGGATTTTTCCGCTTTCCAACTCAACAAGTTCTCGCTAACTAATGTCAAGTGAACCAAACGCGAGCAGGCTGCGGTGAAAGCGCTCAAGACTGCATATCTCGTCATAGGGATTGTCTTGTCGAAGTGAACCTAAATGGGGTTCTGACAACACCAAAGGGCAAATGGTTTTCCGAAATCGAGATATAATATGACTTTATAGATTCATCCAAATCTAAAGGTAAAGTACGATTAGCAAGCATGATACTGTGACAAAATAAATTGCAGAATTCTATAAATACGAGCTTCTCGTTTTGAATCTGGAAATCCATAACTGTTTGAAGGTGATTTTAAAGCAGTACTTTGTTCGTAAGTGATGTTGATAAGCAAACCTGTGCTGGACGACACATGATAAGAAACTGTGGTAGTACTTTGTATTCGTTAGCTGAAAAAATATTTTTTCCTCGAAACACAGTAGGCGTATATTTTCTTACATTCGATGTCCATTTTCATAATTTCCACTGCTGTGATGTTGTCCAGATTCAAAAGCGTGTCTACAGTGTAGGTATCCTTCCAATTGAAGCTACCAACATAAGCTTTTCTCAAATTTGTGCGGGGTATTTGGGAGTACAAGAACTTTACTTTCCTTCTATCTCCTCTCTAAACTTTCGCGATATGTTTTTCTGCAGCACATGCAATTTTTACTCACTATATCGTAGCCGAAGATAGAACAGCAATTTCTTGTTATCTCTTGGAGTCCTGCTTCAAAAGTTACTTGTTGAGCAAGGCCAAATGATAATACGATACTATCTCTAGGAATCCTAAACAATATGTACAAAAAGCCTTCAAGGGTTAGGCCAGACTGCGCGGCGTATGCGGCCTACGCGATGCGACGCGACCATCACCAGGGATTTTTTAGAAACATAGCTTCCAGACACTCGCATCGACCAACGACCGGCCGACGGTGGCCCTTTGGCCGGCATCCGTTCCAATATGCAAAACCTCGGGAAGCGCACAAGGTTGCGCGTGCAGTAAGAAAATAAATTCAAACATCGGGTGCATGTGTCTTTTAAGCAGGTAAGCAGAAGACTTCTCTTCATTATTTCTCTTTTGTTATTGTTACCGTTTCACTTCCGTTGCATCACGTTCTATCAATGGCGTAACGAGTCGCGATTTTTTTGGAAGTTACTTACATGGGTTACAAAATTGTGCAAATGACTTGTTTGCACTTGCAAATAATTAAAATAATTTTTAAAATTTTCAAAAAATTTCATTTCAGCCCTATAAAAAATTTTGGCTGACGTTTACGCCCCCTTTTCCTGAAATTTCGGGGTTCTGAGCGCGCGTTAATTTTAGAGAGCATGCAAAAAAAATTTTCGGAGTGCGTGGCTGACGCCACGCACCTTCATCGAAAAGAAATTTTTGTCGCCCTCCTCCCTCTCAAGCAGAGTTGCGATAGGAGGAGGAATGGATCTTACCCATGGAGCCAGAACCCGGATGACCCCCTTCACTTGGGAAGGTAATCTGAGATGAAACATGATCAAAAAGCTGCTGAAGATTTACCTCAGTCGTGAAACACAACAACCACATTTTCCATGAAAAGAAGAATTTCTATCAGTTACAATGAGAATTATTACAGTAGTTGCTTTTTCGCACTATCAATGGCGTTTACAATAGATACTGTAGCATAAGAAATTAACCAAATTCAAGAAAAAATAACTTGGAAATATAAACACCTAAAAAACGAATATGAGAACAAAAAACATTTGAATTTTTTTTCAAGAGCCCAAACAGTTGATGCTTGTTCGCTGCCTCTTTCCTCCACGTTTTTGAAAATTTTTGATCATGTCTGTTTTCAAGCCTTAAGGTTTTCTAAGGCTTGACACAGTTCAAGATAGACAAACAGATAGACGCCTCTGCTTGCAAGAGATGCAAGAAAGAAATCAAATAATAAGTAAGTTTATACCTACGGTAAGTCTGCCAAGTCGTCGATCCTAAAAACCAAAATGGTCTTGCTAAAGACTGCAAAAACAGTTGAGTGTGATAAGTGATTACCGTGAATAATAAATGACTACGATAGTAGGATTACTTTTTTGATGAAATGGAAGGGATTTAGTAAATGCTTTTTTTTTGTCAGCTAAAGCGAATCAGTAGATATATCGGTCAGATCCCTTGTGTCTTACTTCTAAGAAGAGATAGAAAAAACCGATGGCCTAAGTCTGTATTCTAGATTTGCCAAACGAAGAACTAATCACTGCTGGCTATCTATCTGTGTTACAGAGTAGTCTTTATTGAAAAACGTAGACCGTAGATTTTCTCGTAGCGTTCAATTGGAAAGCAAAAAGTGAGGACACAAAACAATCTTATATATAAAGCTGAATGTCTGTTTGTATGTATGTCTGTCTGTCTGTCTGTCTGTGTGTACGTATGTTCCGAATAGAAAATTCCATTTCTGAACCGATCCGGACCAAACTTGGCACACATACACATCGGGCCCCGGCGGGTGTCATAGGCTACTTTTCGCCATCGATCGATATCGATTTTATCGATTTTTATCGATTTTTTTGCTGAGTTCACCTACGGGGCTGGGAGTTGGCACAGGGGGGTAATCGAGCATGGGGATTCCGAATACAATATTGGTTTTCAGGATTATCGATTACTTTTATCGATTTTATCGATTTTTTTGCAAAGTTTGAGCTACGGGGCTGGGAGTTGGCACAGGGGGGTAATCGAGCATGGGGATTCCGAATACAATATTGGTTTTCAGGATTATCGATTACTTTTATCGATTTTATCGATTTTTTTGCAAAGTTTGAGCTACGGGGCTGGGAGTTGGCACAGTGGGGTAATCGAGCATGGGGATTCCGAATACAATATTGGTTTTCGGGATTATCGATTACTATTATCGATTTTATCGATTTTTTTGCAAAGTTTGAGCTAGCGGGCTGGGAGTTGGCACAGGGGGGTAATCGAGCATGCTGATCACCCCCAAGGGGGGTGATCAGCATGCTCGATTACACTCCTGTGCCAAATTCCAGCCCCCTAGCTCAAATTTTCAAAAAATCGATAAAATTGAAAAAGTAATGGACGATCCTGAAAACTAATATTGTGTTCGTAATCAGCATGCTCGATTACCCCCCTGTGCAAACTCCCAGCCCCGCAGGTCAAACTTTACAAAAAAAATCGATAAAATCGATAAAAGTAATGGACGATCCTGAAAACTAATGTTGTATTCGGAATCCCCATGCTCACTTCCCCCCCTGTGCCAACTCCTAGCCCTGTAGGTGAACTCTGCAAAAAAAATCGATAAAAATCGGTAAAATCGACATCGATCGATAACGAAAAGTGGACTGTGACACCCGCCGGGGCCCGAAGTGTATGTGTGCCAAGTTTGGTCCGGATACGGCGGAGCCGGGTAAGCCAGCTAGTTGATATATAAAGTACATAATATCCCTAATATCTCGCGGCACCTAAAGACCTAGAAAAAAAAGTTGACGGCGTACGTCGATTCTACATGACCTCAGCTTTCGAATGGTTTAACTTATTAGGCATCTTGATTTCAGGGCTCACTTACCCCCTTCACTTTACAAGGATGGGAGTAGCAGATACCCCCTTCACCTGGAGAGGGCCCCTATCGCAACTATGAGCCGAAATCCTGGGTAGCCACGTTCTATGTATGTCTGCCTCTAGAAAGATGATATGCTTTGGGTCATTTGGAACGAACTTTAGGATCGGAGTTTGCTAGTTTATGTAGCCCACTTTATTATAATTCCGCTCTTTTTCAGATTTGAACGAATTCCATGGTGTATCTTCTTCCTGAAAACCTGCTATTTCTCACTTGAATGGCGTAAAAGCAGAACGTCAGCGAATTCAAATGCTACTTGCTGTGACGTGTGTGTGACCATCACCTTTTTGGATTCAAACTAAAGAAGTTCAAACTGAATGTTCACTTTTCAAGAAAGAGCAGCAATATGCATTGTGTTTGAATTCTTGCTTTTCTGATGGAACTGCAGTGAATGGTTGAATGCTGTAAGTACTGTTACATCTTCTTGAAAACGAATATGGCTTTAATGAATGCTCCTTCATACATTGTCAGTGCTTCGATTTCTAGACTAATCCTGCTTTACTTAGAATTTTAATCCATAGGATCGTTAATCCGTTGGTTCCTGCTATGCGCACAACATATTGTGTCAGAAATTATCTGATATTGATGCTTACTGCTGCTCGTCGCACTCTACAAGAAGTAAGTCTTTTGTGACTATCATTTGATTGAAACTAGTCTTGCATGTTTTCTAGGCGAAATATCGTTACAAAATCGTCAATAGTTTGTTTCATTTAGAGGTTATCGAACGCATCTTATCAATGGTTGTGTGTGACATTCAAATAAACAGAAATTCTGTGACCTTCCAGCCAATTCGGTCCAACGATATGTAAACCACTTGCGTTGAATGATCTTTCTGTATGATGAAAAGTCAGAGCTTTGAATGTATTCTACATGCATATTTGTACACACTCTTCTTTTATCAATGCTTCACACTGTATCTTTTGGCTTAATTAACACGTTGTTGTAGATTCGTACTACCCCATATTAAGATTATAGTGCAGAACAAAAGCAAAAATTTAAGAAACAAATATCGTGACCCAGTGCCATTTCGTTGCGCCGCTGACGCTACAGACTAGTGGCCGTACGGGTACCGGCTGGGGACCGGCTGGCGACCGTTCCGGCCGAAATGTCGGCGACGAATCAGCCGCCCGTCGAACGACCGTCAGCCGGTACGAGTGTCGAGTTATTGTACTTATGGCAACTGAAAGTGGCGAGTGAAACGTGCTAATTGTCAAAGAGAATATTTATGCGATCACAGCCTACCTGAACGGATTACAAATCCATTTTCCACCATCGTCAGTCGTCCCAACACGAACGAGTATAGGACAGTATGCCTACAACGAAGGGAAATTGCAGAGTTAGCCATAGTTATAAATCTGTACCACACAAAAATAGCCAAGATTGTATGTGCGATTGGTAGGCCATATCCAACAAATTTTGTTCAGAGTTAAGAAGGAGAAGGATTACGATTGAGATAAGAAAAGAAAGAGTCTATTATTTCAGTGACCTCTTTCTAAGGACACTCGCACTATGCTTGTATCAGAAAAAGAGTGATATGCAAAAATCAATGCATAATCTTATTGCTAGAAATCTGCCCCTTTCTCGCTCCCCTTCCAATCTTCAAAAATTTTGCAGATTCATTCGTGCCATTAACTTATCTCTGGGGCTAAGTTACTGTAGAATGCTTGGAGATCACCAAGCCGATCGCGAGCACATCGTATATACCTTCGACGATTCACAGCCTAAAAAAATTAACGCTAATCTGTGGGCTATTAAAGGAGACAAAGGCTAATTCTGCTCGGAATACGGTCCCAAGTTCAACAAACCTGTTGCCTATACAAATTCACCATCATTGCAAAATCCGAATCATGAGACAGGTTTTTGTTAGTATCATTGAAAAGCGTCTGAATATTACCTGTAACACTGTTAACAGCATGAAAAAATATATTTTTTGCTGCTGTAAAAAATCTCGATAGGCATGCGGTTCCTATCTTTGAAGAAAATACAAGTCACATTTTCGATTACATACTTGTAGAAGCTCGATTTTGAGCCGCATGCACTAACATTTCCGCTGGGGAGGGGATCGCAGCTTCAGAAGAAAGCTTCATATCCTGAAGCTCCGGATATCTGGATTTCACTCTGTCTACCTGTCCGTAAGTACTCCCACCATCCTTCACTATGAACATATTGAGCAGAAGCGAGAAGCTGTACAAGCCGCATTTCCCAGCTTTTTGTAGGATCCCCTGATGATCCCTGGGGGACGAACATCTACTCTTCAAAGTCATTTTTCTTTCTCTGAAGACAACGAAAACCTTCCAAAGTTATACTGAACATCTAACACAACAGTGCTAAGTATGTTGCTGATGAGAACAAATGAATTTTTGAAAAATCGAATTTTTCGGTATACCCCAAATTTCGACCTGTGGATCATCGAAAATTTCATGACTTCAAAACATCATTTGTTCTCATCAGCAACATGCTTAGCACTGTTGGATTAGATAATCTGCACAACTTTGGAAGTTTTTCGTTAACTTCGGAGAAAGAAAAATGACTTTTAAGAAAAGCGCCGGGGATCATAGGGGATCATACAAAAGCTGGAAAATGCGGTTTGTACAGCTTCTCGCTCCTGTTCAACATGTTCATAGTGAAGGGTAGTAGGAATACTTACGGATAGGTACACAAAGTGAAATCCAAGTATCTGGAATTTCGAAATATGAAGCTTTCTTTTGAGCTGCGATCCCCTCCCCGCGGCCATGTTAGTGCATGCGGCCCTTAGACTGATTATGCCTTTTATAAGAAATTTGTTATACTTCTGATGGGCAGTCAATACTCGCTGCAAACGCTATGTGCGACCAATTGTCGATCATCTTTTATCAAAGATTATCAAATCGAAGTTAGTACGTAATTATACTGAGGGATTGCAATCGTCTTTGCAAGAAACACATACCTGATCCTTGCGAGCCACAGAACGGAAGCATTTTTCAGCACTGTGATGCCTACGAGTTTCTTACTACTCACCAACAAAAACACATTATTCGCAGGCAGAGGGTTTATGTTTCTCTATGATGCTACGGCAAAAAGAGAACTGGGTATTTGAGTGGGTTTTCAGATATATCAAATTTGACCTAGAATTTATGTAATATTCCATTCGATAAATCAACTGAAGGACGAGTGCCTGATGATTACTAATGAACTGTCACCATATGCCTTTGTGTTTTTGAATACTGGAGTCAGGTGAAGACTAGGTTACTAAACAATCAGAAAGTGTTTGGTGACACTCATGTGGTCTTCACTAGAGCTATCAAGTGCTAAGGTGAGCATCAGCTTGATGTTGTAGTTTTGACTGCATTCTGCTTTTTAAAGAGATTCTGCTTTTTAGAAAGGTTGGTCATTCACTCTAACCGGCGAGATGTTTGAGTGTGTAAATTGCTGTCGCCTATTTCAACTTCTGAGGAAGGCAAACAAATCACAGAAAGTCAGTATGTGTAAATAAGCTAATCTGGGTTATCCAGTTTGAAAAACTCAAGGAATCCAAGTCTATTTACGAACAGAACCGCTGAGCAATTGTCTCTGGTGCCTTTTCTGCCTGATCCGGAACAATTTATGGAAGCGCACCCTTTTGCGGCAACCGTCTCAAAGCGCCATCCTCATTAGATGTGTTTTTTCATGAAGAAAATGAACAGATCTTTTTGAATCTCATATATAAAGCTGAATGTATGTCTGTATGTCTGTATGTATGTATGTACGTATGTGCGGAATAGAAATTTTTATTTTTGGACCGATTTGGACCGAACTTGGCACACATACACTTTGGGGCTGGGCGGGTGTCATAGGCTACTTTCCGTCATCGATCGATATCGATTTCATCGATTTTTATCGATTTTTTGCAGAGTTCACCTACGAGGCTGGAAGTTGGTACAGGGGGTAATCGAGTATGCTGATTACGATTATAATATTAGTTTGGCGTTATTCGGCTATCCGGGCTCCGAAATTTTTTTGTCGTAGAGCTTGCGCAGACTTCGTCTATAAGGGTTATCTTACGTGCTGATTACAGAGTCACACTTTCTCCGAAGTACGTCTTCCCGTGTGGTTAGGTGTACGGTAGGAAGTCAAAGTCATGAATTTGGCTGAAGTTCGGTCCAAAGGGCTTATTCGACATGCTGATTACGAAGATCATACTCTCTCTGCATATTGGGACCTTTTCATAGGGTATGGTGATTATGATTATACGGTAGGGGAACAAAAACATTTGCTTTAAACTTCGTCTAGGGTGGTCATTTGACGCGCTGAACGTGAATTTCATGCTGATTAGGACAGCGCCATCTTCTTGGGTTACGATGGTTTTACAGTACATGGGTCGAAGTTTCAGATTTGCTCAAAACCTTACCCGTAACGGTTTACAAGCATGCTGCTTATGAATATGATGCTTGCTCGCTGTCATAACGCATTATTGTGAAGTTACGGTAAGTTGCAAGGTTTGAATGGACATTTTTTCGCTTTCGGGCCAATTTAGATCCCAGATATTCACGAAATGGGGAAACGGTTGCTTTGCATGGCGGTCTCCAGCGCCATCCTGATAACCTTCCCAAAGTGTAACGCACGCGGCAAATCTCCCTCCCCCTGTTTTTGCTTAGGCAGAAGCGCCGAAGGGTGTACGCGGCAGTGGTCCTATAAGGAAAGCATTACGGTCGTGGGGAACTTTTATACCATACGAATTGCCTTTATCGTAGGGATTAAGCACGATATTCTTGAAACAGCACTTTAGGTAATTCCCTGCCAAGGTTTCAGGCAGGTTCATGATTTTTACCCGCTGCCAGTACCTACCGTAACTCTGCGAAAAGGTCTCAAAACGCAACGAGAGTGTTTTAAACGTGGTCAGAAGGTCGAATCTCTTGACCAAGTTCCAGTCAAAACTGAGATTTTGTCTGTAGTATACCTACCATAACTCAGTGAAAACGCCCCAAAATGCCGAAAAAGTATGATATCGTACCAGCATGTCAATTAGCCCCCCCCTTAAGCAAAGTTTCAGCGAAGTCCATGAATTTACCTTCTTACGTGTACCCACCGTTAACCCAGAAGATGGCGCTATCGCGCGAAATGACTACGATATTCGTCATCAGCGGCTCGAAGAACCCCCATATACCGAGTTTAAGCAAGATTCATCAGAAAAACATTTTGGGGCTCGGAAATCCGAATAACGCCATCAGTTTTTAGAATTATCCTTACTTTTATCGATTTTATTGATTTTTTTTGCAAAGTTTGAGCTACCGGGCTGGAGATTGGTGAGGAAGGTAGGTGAGCATACTGATTACTAACACAGCGGGAATTGGGAATTGCATGTAGAAGTGGGGACAGGAAAAGGTTGTGCAGGACTAGGAATGGAACCTTTATTGTTTTTGACAAGGCGGGGAGGGGGGGGGGTAAGCCAGCTAGTTACCTAATATTCTCAAGCGCTTGAAATACCTCACTTTGCCAAGTTTTGGCAAACTTTTAAGCCCGTGTGCAAGTAACCGCTGAGGCATAATGGATGCTGAAACATTGTCGTACGAGCTGAGATCTCCACTTTTTCTGTAATCCCCTTCTGAATCCCTCACGACGGCCCTTTTCCTCATAGTCATCTTCGTAAACTCGTGAAAAGGTCGTAAAGTTGTACTGAAGATCGATCATGGCACTGCAAGGCATGTGGCAGGACATTTGGAATGGGGAATAGTGAGCCTTTTGATGAACTTTAGCTTACAATGGTTCATCGAAGATTTCGTAACTTGAGATTTCACTTACTTCCACTATTACCTGGCTTTCCGGTCTACCCGAGCCATGATAGATCATTTCGCGTGTTTCCCTAGGGATCACAGTGAGATGAGGTACAAGGTTTATCAAATGAGGTGTCGCTTAACCCAGCATCTCCACTCCCGCGCTGGACTCTTTGTCTCTTCCGCGAAACATGCTTTCTATGGACTTTCCCGGGGCGAGCTTGGGAAAGGCGGAGCCTTAATTAAATAGAAGTGATTAGTGAGCATGTCCGCGGAAGAGACGCAGAGTGCAGCGCGGGAGTGGAGATGCTGGGGCGGGGCACGAGCGACACTTCATTTGGTAAGTCCTGTAGATGCTGTTTGATCGCCAGCATAGTTACTGCACTGCAAGACTTCCGCCTTCTCCTTCCAAATTACGAATGACTTACCTGGTCTCAAGATCCTGACACTGAAATGAACTTTAACGCCTCCATTTACACGAGTATGATGCTTAACGGAATATGATAGACTTTCATTTTTTAGTAAAACAAAAATCGATAATAGGGGACCCACTGAATCTTCTTAACACATCCACGATGATACGACCCACCGGTGAGTTACGCGTTCTACCATTTCG